TTCAGCGGTGGCAAAAGGGCAGAAACATGTCAGTAATAGGACAGAACTTATGGTTTGAGTAAATGTGACGAAGAGCAACGAATCCAATCCCCAAAACACTGACCTGTCCATCTGCTTCACACGCCGCTTCTTCATCTTGCGCACGACAGCCACAATGTGGCTCATGATGCCCAGGTCCGCCTGGTGCATGATGTCAGGCATCACCACGAGGTAGGGATTGCCCCACGCGGTCCCTGGGACATCCCACTTCCAGAGCACGCACTGGAAATGGGGATGTGGTGGGGAATGGAGGAGAGATGTACGTGAGAGTGGATAGCTAACCTAAACCACAAGTGGGGTGAGTTCAATGGGGCAGAGCACATCTGGCAATTCATGACGGGGCGGGCGAGAGTATAGACTACTCATGGGCCAGGGAAACAGGTCACTCACCTCAACAGGGTAGGTAGAGTAGGCCTTGCACGGGTCAGCCTGGCTAGTTGTCGTCCCAGCCGCCTCGTTAACGATCCATTGCTGCTGTTCAGGCGTGCGCGGCGTGTTCCGTGCCTTGACAGCACTCAGATGCTCCTGTTGTAGCACGGGGGTGAGGGATGGGATAGAAAAGGTAAGGGTGGTAGCTATGTGGGTTCTATCAGGCGACCCACAAACGAGAATGTATTTGAATGCGTGCAGATGGCATGTGACCTCACCTTTGCAGCATAGCAGATGCTGCACGGCATCCGCGATCCATGCGAGAGTGTGCAACTGATCTTGCCGCTCTCGGGGTAGTCGCACACCCAGGCGTACAGCAGGGGCCGCACGGTTTGCCAATCACCGAAAGGGTCCCTAAGACGGAACCCGCTGCAAGGAACAGGTAGAGGGGCAACAGGAATTCGGGTTACGGCTTTTAGGGAGGAACGACGAGGGGCAAAGGGCCATGCTACATACAGAGAGGGTTTGCATACCATGCAGGTGGTGAGATGATGTCTTAGCAAGATGCAAACCGAGTACGGACCTGGCAATGCCATCAAGAAGCGGCTGCAGCACGGTGATGACGCAACGCTGGAAGAGCATCACCTTCTCCACGGCAGACATTGCAGACGGGGGGATAGGAAGGAGGGCAAGTAGTGTGTGCCCGGCTTTCCCCCATCGCTTGGCCTGGGAGATGTTGGCCAGCGTCATCATGAGCGGCCACGCCTTCTTCCGGCCGTTGATGCTCATGTGCGTCACATCCGAATATAAGATGATCCCCCCCACAACTTCGGACCAACCGAAGTGTTCCTGCAGTGCACGACAAAGCGGCAACGGACACACGCTTTAGGGCTCAAGATGCTCTTGACAGATCAGTGCAGCGATGGAGGCATGAGGAAGGATTGGGTTTGGGGTGGCAACGTGGTCTTTCCTTACCTGAGCATCGTTCCACCACGTTCCTGTTTCAGGCGTGGTATAGCGACGGCTGCCTGCGTCAGGGTCCTCATCAACACGCGCCTTGAGCTTGAAGCCGGGCGCGTTGTTGGGATGTCCAAACATTTCAGCGAATGCCTGGTGTACGGTGGCGAAGGCAGGTGAGAGGAGAGGCATGGTTAGTGGCGGTGAAGGTGGGTGTACGGTTAATACAAGGATAACTACGTACATGCAAACCCTGTGTGCCTCATCATCATTTCACGGCCTTGAATGCAAAGTCGGCTTACCTGGGCTGAGTTCTGAAAGAGCAAGCGCTGTGGTGGATGACCGTCAATCTCGAAGGTCGCCACCGACCATCCGCGATTGAGCCCTGCCAAACGCTCCATCTCGAACCGCTCCAGATCCTTACAGTTCCGGAGCTCCGAGATCACAAGAGGCGCAAGGCCGGGCTCTACGACTAGCTGAAGCAGGCCGTTGATGTCAACCTCGGCCATTCCCATTCCGCCATTCACGCGCCGAACGAAATGCAGCAGCTTCAACGCGAGCGGATTGAGGGGCGTGGCATTGCTCTGTCCGGAGATGATTGTTGGCGGCGCGGCATGACTCCCTTCGGGCCGGCTCTCAGGATGGTCACTCGTGTCAGCCGCAGGAGCTCCTGGTTGTGGTTGATGTTCATCTTCAGGAGGCCCCTCGTTCACGTCGTTGGGAGTTTCGTCAACGTGAGCTTCAGGCACGCGTGGAGGACCGCTCACACTGACGGCGTTGGATGCGTTAGACGCTGTAGGTGAACCGGGAGCGGCTGGAGCGTCCGACAGAATGTCGTGGACGAATAGCAGAGCGTGAAGACCGGCGGTCGGTGCAGATCGCGTCGGCCTTGCCACGGCGGATAGTCCTTGGCAAGGGGTCCGCCGTGACTTATGACCGCCATAAACTTAAACATTGGGGAACCATCTGTTGCAGAACTCGCAGACGACGCCTGGTAAAGAGCCCATGTGTTACGGATCCGTTGTAGAGTCGAGAAATCGCCTATGAAGCTACTAGCCGTGATGAAGCTTGTGAACGCATTAAGTACTCCGTTCAAGAAGCCTGTGACAGCTACACGATCATCGCCAATGCGTGCACTGTGGTGGGCGGCTTGTATCACTGCACGACTGGCACTTGACATTGGCGCTAATGTTTATGACTGGCTAACGATGTCGAGCCGCGTGGTCGTTACCAGGCACGATACAGACCGCCCACCTCACGGGCCGTCTTCACTACAAGGCGTGTCGCCCCCGTTTAGAGTGACCACGACGTGAGCAGAGGAGAATGCGGAGGATCTTAAGTCTCACGGTCGTGTGTGTGCGTCGCGAGCACGGTGAGAAGGACGTGCCTATTGAATCAAGAACTTGTGTTTAGGAACCGTGCGTGAGAGTCGAGGGGGATGAGGAAGAGCGGGAAGAGATCCGTTTGGATCTGTGATTGTGTCGCGAATCGATATAGGGGGGAAATCAGAATCACGTAGGTGAGCTCAAGAGGCTTCAAACAAACATGGAAATGCAAATGTACAATTACAACTTAACAAGACACTCAAGTCATTCATAACTAGTAAACATTCATATCCTTAGGACTGATGTTGAACAACCCTTACTTGATAACGATACGGGAAGTACCCAATAACTCCATGCCCTAACGTATGATTGTTGCGTGGAGCGAATACCTATAGCGTGTCTTCTCTCGAGGTGTAGTGTACCTCTACGCACCGTGCTGAATGAATATGCAAGAATGGATGACAATGTCGTACAATAACACAACGGTTTCAATGTCCATGCAATGTTGGATGACAATGCAACACCATACCACAACGGATTCACCATGTCGCGCAACCCGCAGGCCTGAACGCTGCATCGTCGCACAGTCTAACTATGGCTGTCGATAACGCATCTACGCTTGTGCGTTGGGCCTGTGCTTCATACCACTCCTTCTAAGCACCTTGTTTAATGTCTGTGCAAGAATGGATGCCAATGCAACACCATACCACAACGGATTCACCATGTCGCGCGGCCTGAACGCTGCATCGTCGCACAGTCTAACCATGGCTGTCTATAACGCATCTACGCTTGTGCGTTGGGCCTGTGCTTCATACAACTCCTTCTAAGCACATTGTTTAATGTCTGTGCAAGAATGGATGCCAATGCAACACCATACCACAACGGATTCACCATGTCGCGCAACCCGCAGGCCTGAACGCTGCATCGTCGCACAGTCTAACCATGGCTGTCGATAACGCATCTACGCTTGTGCGTTGGGCCTGTGCTTCATACAACTCCTTCTAAGCACCTTGTTTAATGTCTGTGCAAGAATGGATGCCAATGCAACACCATACCACAACGGATTCACCATGTCGCGCAACCCGCAGGCCTGAACGCTGCATCGTCGCACAGTCTAACCATGGCTGTCGATAACGCATCTACGCTTGTGCGTTGGGCCTGTGCTTCATATCACTCCTTCTAAGCACCTTGTTTAATGTCTGTGCAAGAATGGATGACAATCCAACACCATACCACAACGGATTCACGTTTGTTACTATTGATAATCGTGTTAGAATGTCGTCCGCTAGCCCTAAACCATTGTGGCAAAGCCTAAAAGTGCACAGTACATCTGTCACAAGTAATAATTTTGGACGGTCGTTGTGTGTGTGACGTAAGAATCACCGATTAACTTACCCCAACCCCGTGGTAAACCATTTGCAACTTAGAGTTTGATGAAATGCATTGTTGTATGTTTGAATAAAATTTAGTGATTTATGCGTTGGCAACCGTGATTGGCCGACGCATCTCAAACGATTCCCCCCGCAACACAGTCATCAGCCAAGAGGTACTTCAGCCATTGAGCGGCTGAGATCGAGCGGTAGGTGGGTTTATGCTAGGGTGGCTACACGTACACCGTCCAATATAGCCTGATAGGGTTACATTACTCTCTCTAGTCTCGCAACCCACACCAACCACCCTCGTGTCCCACCCACCTGCTTCCGTCCGTCCCTGGACCAACACTTTGACGCTGCTCGTTGCCTTGACACACGCCTCTCCAGATCGGCCTTAGCGCGAAGCATAGTGGCTACTATGACAGATTTAGTTGAAGCGGCGGTTTTCGGAAACACATAACAGTGATAGACCGTCGATAATCCCATCGTGGGATTCAGTTGCAGAACCCTTTCGAAACCGGCTCAACCCTTCCGCGCGATTTGCAACTTTGCTCCTCCTACAATTACCATGACACGTGCAACACGTAACCAAGCAATGGAGGAGGAACAGGCCGGCCGCCGCGCGACAAGGAGGACGTCTAAACAGATCGATAGGGAGTGTGGTGGCGGCGCTAAAAAAACTAATGCGTCCGTCGCTTGTGGCATTGGGCAGAAAAAAGCGGCGGCAAAAAAGGTCGCGCGCGGTCAACAGGAGGCCGGCAAGAAAGCGGAAGACAAGGGGCCTAAACCAACGCCACGCAAGCGTGTTTCTACAGTGAACAAAGATGCGGATGTTGCCTCTGCTGGAACCGAGCCCGGTCCGAGTAAAGATGGCACCACTGGCGGCAACGAAGATCCGGGGCGAGGGAGCGCGAGTCTTGCACTCCCGTCGGCGGAGATGGAGGGATCGGCGACAGAGGGAAATCACGGAGGCGATCCCCGCGCCGAGCATGCCGCAACCAAGGAGTCCGAGGCGGCGGCAACGCAACACCATCTGACGCTGCTCCAGCCGACCGTGGTCGAAGTTTCTGCAGCCGTGCTGGATAAGGACAAGGTGGGGGAGCACGAGTCGGTGGGGCTGGTCGGTGGCTCTCCACCTTCTGGTGGACGGGGGAGGCGTAGGCAGAGGAAGAGCGATGGGGAGGACGATTATGACACCGCCGTGCCCGGGGACCTCATTACGCGGGCGAAGAGGCGGCAGACGACAGGTAGTGCTGACGACGCCGGAGGCGCGGCAGTTGGGACACCGCGAGGCGCCAAGGAAGCTAGTGGCAAGGCGGGCAGTCAAGCATTGCGCCAGAAGGGCCGATCCGCAGCAAGAAAAGCATCCGGCGGAACGAGAGGCAAGAAAGCAGCGACGGGAACAAAGCCGAAACGGGGCGATGAAGACCCCGGTGATGCGGAGGAGGAGGAGGATGAGGAGGAGGATGCGGAGGGAGAGGAGGATGAAGAGGAAGCGGAGGAGGATGACGCGGATGTTGGGGAGGATGAAAAAGATGAGAATGATGGCGGGGAGGACGAAGAGGAGGAGGAGGAGGAGGAGGAGGAGGAGGATGAGGAGGAGGAGGAGGAGGAGGAGGAGGCAGAGGAGGAGGAGGAGGAGGAGGAGGAGGAGGAGGAGGAGGAGGCAGAGGAGGAGGAGGAGGAGGAGGAGGAGGAGGAGGAGGAGGAGGAGGAGCAGGGTGACGACGAGGAGGAGGATGTGGAGGAGGAGGATGAGGAGGAGGCAGCGGAGGAGGAGGAGGAGGAGGAGGAGGAGGAGGAGGAGGAGGAGGAGGAGGAGGATGTGGCGCCAGTGAAGGGACGGGGCGGGCGTGGCAGACGGGTGAGTGGTACAGGGAAGGAGGGGGGCCGGACTCGCCCTTCCCGAAAACGCGGGGCAGTTGACGCTGCGCGCGGCGAAGCATCGGGCAAACCGAAGGCGCGTAAGGTGAAGGTCGAAAGTGAAGGGGTTGGTAAAAAGCAAGGGAGCCAGGGAGCAAAAGGGGATGGAGGAGGAAAGGGTGGCCGCGCCAAAGGGGTTCCAGTGGGTACCAGCAAGAAAGAACCTGCCGGTAAACGTCGCAGCGTCCGCCAAAGCACCCCGCGGAAAGGTGGCAACGAGAAGGCGCAGGCTGCCCCAAAACCGAAGGGACAGCAGAAAGGTGAGCATTGTGTCCAATAAAACTGGCGTGACGTGTTGAACCATCTGCTAAACCGTGCCAAAAAACACCCTTTTTTCACATTGTTTCTCCCATGCAGGGAAGGAGAAGGTCGACGAATCTGCCAAGCAAGGTAAACCCTCTTGTCTCAAACCAGTACAACCCTGAACCCGATCTAGATTCAAACCTTTCTGAATATGCATGCATGTCTGGCCCCGCCTTGAAACCGATCGACTCTAATTTTTTTTTCCGGCTCCCTCTACATCTCAGCCCCTCGCGTTACAGGCATTGGGCCGCCCGTAAGCGTGCAACGAATGCATCTAACGAAGGCTGCCGGAAGAGCGAGTGTTACACCGCTCTCCTCCGGAGCACCAAGGTACTACACGCCATGGGCCGGCCCGAGCAAAGTCGCTGCGACGGCACCAGGCGCGCCAAGAGGAGAGGAATCCGAATCCCCTCCACCCGCCCCCGTCACGCAGTCCCCACTCGCCTCACCCTCGTACCAATTTCGGCAACTCCACGCTTCTCCTGTCCGGGGCAGGGCGGTCTCCCCTCTCGCCGATCCTTCGCGCGGGCATCAGGCAGGCAGTTATGCCAATCCCTTCCCTGAGCTCCCCTTTTCCCGCCAGCGTGATAGTGTGAGGGCACACGGGACTGCTGCAGAAGACGTTGATCCCCTTGGCCAGAGGGGGGATTCTTCACACCCTTTTCCTCCGCTCATGGGTGCCCTAGGTGAAAGTGCGGAGCACGAGCAGTTTGTTACACGGGAGGAGTTCCAGGCGCTGCGGTCTGAGATGTACGCCATGTTTGCACAGCTCGGCCTGCGTCGTGGAGTACCTGCCAGCTATGCCGGCGGGCCGGCAGCCCTGCCTATGGCTGGTACCCCGCCGCCGATGAGCGCCGTGGACAAGGCACGAGTGCTAGTGTTGCAGGAGACAAACCCATTCCCGGTATGTGGCGGGCCACATGGGGAGGGTTGGGGTTGACGTGGCAACAAGGGCGGGGTTGGGGCTGACGTGGCGGTTTCGAAGGGAACACAGGAGCGGCGCGTGACGAGGCGACGCGTATCAGGTGGGTGGGGGGTGACGTGGCATGGGGTGGGAGGGTGTGACGTGGCACGTGGGGCTGGTTGTTGGTGGACGTGGCGGATGCAGGAGGGTGTGACGTGGCACGTGAGGCTGGTTGGTGGACGTGGCGGACAAGGAGGGTGTGACGTGGCACGTGGGGCTGGTTGGTGGACGTGGCGGATGCAGGAGGGTGTGACGTGGCGGAAGGTGAGGGTGGGGGATGACGTGACAGATGCAGGTGGGTGTGACGTGGCGGAAGGTGAGGGTTGGGGATGACGTGGCACCCTAAAAGGGTACACGTGAGCGGCGCATGACGAAGCGAGGCGTCTCAGGTGGGTGGGGGGTGACGTGGCTCTTGGTGGGGGGTGTGACGTGGCAAGTAGGGCGGGTTGTTGGCGGATGCAAAAGGGTGTGACGTGGCAGAATGTGAGGGTTGGGGCTGACGTGGCGGTTTGGAATGGTACACGGGAGCGGCGCGTGACGAGGCGACGCGTGTCAGGTGGGTGGGGGGTGACGTGGCATGGGGTGGGAGGGTGTGACGTGGCACGTGGGCCTGGTTGTTGGTGGACGTGGCGGATGCAGGAGGGTGTGACGTGGCACGTGGGGCTGGTTGGTGGACGTGGCGGACAAGGAGGGTGTGACGTGGTGGAAGGTGAGGGTTGGGGATGACGTGGCGGATGCAGGTGGGTGTGACGTGGCGGAAGGTGAGGGTTGGGGATGACGTGGCGGTTAGAAATGGTACACGTGACCACTGCGCATGACGAAGCGAGGCGTGTCAGGTGGGTGGGGGGTGACGTGGCTTGTGGTAGGGGGGTGTGACGTGGCAAGTGGGCCGGGTTGTTGGTGGACGTGTCGGATGGCGCAGGGTGTGACGTGGCAAGTTCAAACAGTGTTGCTAGTCACCATCCCATGGTCACGCGGCCACCCTCATAACTGCTGGTTTCTCTCTTCCATGTCGTGTTGTATACCTTACACCCCTGCGCAGAACAAAGCCTACTTAGTGTGCTCTCAGCTCATGTTTCTGAACCTGCCGGAGAAAATACAGTACTACCCTGCACCGGAGGAAGTGTTCGAAGCGTTCTCTGTCCACTTGTCTGCAGAAGGGCTCGAGGCAATGAAGCTGCTGTGGTTGCACAATGACAAGTCAACCATGGGAGTCTTCAACCACCAGCTGTCCTCAACAAGGTCAACTATCAACTCCACCCTCAGGCCAGCAGCATACACCGGCATGGGCCTTGCCGATTACAGCCATCTCGTGGATAGCCTGCCCACTGAGCTACACCCAACGACCTGGTTCGACGACGATCAACTCCTAGCCGAGTACAGAGATGGTATGTGCAGTGCAACTCGAAAACACAATATGCCCTACCATATGCCCCTTGGCAGCTACATATCACCGTGCGATGTGGCTCACCCTGACTCTCATCCCCCCATTTGATTTCTCTACAAAACCCTTTCCAACCCATACCCTCCCTGCCAATAAGCAGAACAGTGGGCCCTCAACTGGCACTTTGACAAGGCCACCGGGACACCCTTCAGCAACCCCTTGTTCGCTCATGCGTTCAAGCTCTCCTTCAAGAGGGGCGGGGCGGTGTTCACCAAGTTCAAGAGCCGCATGGTGGCATGGGGCCTGTTTTCGGTAAGGATGTAGATATGTGTTTGTACCCCCATGCCTCATCCCCTTAACCCCTTGCCTGTACTTCAGCTAAAACCCTGGTCGATTAGGCCTTTGCAGTTACGTAGATAGTGACGACTGCATCACCGCTTTCAGTTGCCTCATTTACCCGTAACCTACCCTCCTCATAAACCATCCACCCAATCCTACACCACATTGCAGATCGAATGGCCCCTTCTGCAGGATAAGCGTCGCAAGCGAATCAGTAGCCAGCCGGAGCAGAACAGGCCAGACTACCAGGAGCGGTGCGAAAAGGTCAAACAGATGATCCATTTTGCTGTCGTGGAGCGGAGGATCCCCCACGATCCGGCTATGGGTGCGTTCGTCTTTCCGAACAAGTTCCTCATCGACGACGGCGACCTTGGAGATGTCGTCCTTGCCCACCGGGCGCTTTCAAGGCCCGCCAGTGCGTAGGCTATTTGACCTGGTGCTAAGACTGCTTGTTGCTAGAATGCTGAATAATGGTTCTTGTAAACCGCAATAATAAATGCAATTTTGAAATCCTCAATATCCAAAATGAACAAAAGCAGAATTTAGTTTTGAATAATTTGGTCACGAATTTGCAACAAAACGGATTGCGCCCGAATGTCATACGGAAAAACTCGCGTGCCAAATTGGAACTTGAACCGAGCCAAACCTTGTCGCGAGATGTGTCTCGGAGCTCCTATCAAATGACTCCAACCGTCGGTCCAAATTGGCTCCGGATTTTTTTACGCGAAGACAATCGAAATCAAAATTCGTCCAAACTTGGCATAGGGTTTTTGTGATGTAAGGTGGTGCTGAAAGCGAATTTGCAGTTGCACATATGGCCAGACCTCTTGTGGCTAATCGCATTAGATGCTGTAAACCCATGTGTTTGGAAGGCTGTTGAGTTACTCACCTCATTGCATCACGAAGGCGGTTTTGATGGTCTTCTTATGAAGCTCAAAGCTTCACCGAAGCAATAGAACACGGAGGAGTGGAAGAGAGTTCGCCCGACAATCCGGCACCTTAAGGCGACAGTTCCAGTGCTGCAGAAGGAGGTGGTGGGTGAATTGGGTTGCGCTCTTCGGATAGAGGAGCTACTAGTGAAGGAGTCCCTATTGGTCGCATGCCTGCACACGGACAACGTCGGCTGCAGCTTGGCATGAATGCGCAGGGCGAAAGGGGAATTACCGCCGACATTTTATCGGAAATTAGGTTAATGACAGACATGCAAGAATGACAGTGAGGACTTTCATGCAAAAAAACGGTGCTTCTGCTTTTGACTCAGAGCTATTCGCGGAAGTGCCACCCTCGGCCTTGCCATATTGGGGCCTGAAAAGTGGGAAGACACTACGAGAGGCAGAGGCTTACTACTTGAAGTGGCATAGACAAAAGAGGAGGTGCTAAAGGCGTTGAAAGGCATGGCGTCCTCGGGGAACAACGACCTATCAAAGGAGTTGTATGAGCTCCATTGGAACTTGCTCCCTAAAAAGAAAAGAGGTATCGGCGCTGCTGATGGAAATGCAGTCACAATATTATCTCACAAAAAGAGCCCGAATTAGGATATTTAAAACCGCAAGTGCTTAATGCTTCCAAATAGCACTTACAACATCGTTGCTTATCTCTTGGCAAACAAATGGGAAGGTCCTACACATAGTCATCTCAAGCGAACAGTTTTGCTTTCTCTTGGGCAGAAAGCTCTCCAATGCAATCTCGCTAGTGGCTGGCACAACTGAAGCGGCAAAGAACAACGGGGAGGAATATACCTCCTGCTGGTGGACTTGTAAAATGTTTTCAATCCAATCATGAGGCCCTTTCTTTTTGGCACGATGGAGAGGATATGCTTCCCAATTAGATTCATCGGCTCGTGTAAGGGGCGGCTTGACAACAAGGCTCCTCTTCAACGGCTGGCTAGAGGATCAGGTGGCTCCATGTCTGCTCGCGTTGTAACTTTTCTTATGCGCAGTGGAACCGATCTGGGATTGGGCAACCTGTATGAGGAGAGGCTTTCCTACATGGGCTGTGCTGACTACTACACACTGGTGCTCAAAGGGAAGCGACATATTAAGAGAGGTGAGAAATGTTTGGTAAACAAGGCGTGCTTTCAGGCCTCCGCATCAATAAGGGCAAGTCGATGTTGCTGGCGCAGGGGAAGAACCTGCATCGTGCACGAGACAATGACTTGCGTTCACGTGGGTAAAGCCTAATGAATCTGAGAGGCTACTAGGCGTATGGGTCTCACCGTCATGCACCGTCACGCATATTGCGCAGGTGCCAAGTCGGCCACGTGCCGACAGTTGCGCAAGATGCACCACGTCGACCACGTGACGCTGCACGCTGGACGACGTTCGCGCACCCCCACAAAACCTCGTCAACCAGGTAACGCGGTTGACCAGGTGAGGCCTGCCGTCGCCCACAAGTCGACGCTTTCACATTGATGACCTTCGTCGTCGACCACCGAAGCCCTGTGACGTTCGTAGGTCGACAAACACCTTCGTCGACCACCCAAGTTGAAGCCGTCCACCGCCTTCTCTTGCCGGCGACACTGCAATGGTCCCGCGGAAGTCGACCAAGTCTATCGACTTCCCTCCCCAAGT